ATAAGTCCCTGGGAGCGTATTTGAAGTTTTAATGAAAGAGTTAGATTACAGAAAGCCGTAGTGGGAGTCTTATATGAGGAAGCTTTAAAGTTACTTGCAATGTACCAAAAAACAACATTCAAATAAATTATTTTTCACTGCAGTATACCAAGTTTTGGAGATAGAATTAAAATTGGGCTTTCATTTTAGACCCAATAAAGCATAATATTAGACTATAATATTGCATATACTAGTGAGATCCAAATGCCCACGGTGTTGCAAGAGAACATTTTCCCTCAGGCATTTGAAATTTAATACTTCTTTAATATTCTCTGTTGGATATTGTTAGAATGGAATTTCAAATATTTCCTGCAATTTGAGTTATAGATTACTGAATAATGCTGAGCAGCAAAAAATTTTTGAAGCGTGTATCTAAAGCTGGCATAGTAGCTTAATGTCCTGTTGTTTCTTGCTTTAGCAAAATTAATTTCTACAGTCTTCAACCATGAATTCAAGCACCACCTGGAGATTCAAACCCGTAATTTAACTGTAGTCTATTTCTAGCTCTCTTGGCTAATACATGGAGGCTAGACTCTGTATTTCAGACAGTTATAAAAGGAAAAGGCCATTTCATAGCAATACTTCATGTTCTTTTAAGCCAGACAGTGTGCAACTTGGAAAAAACAGTATCTGGTCCATTATTGTAAATAAATGGGATTACCCGTCATGAAATAAAGGTACATGGGTTTGCCTACATTAAAAGTACATTCTACTGTACTCCAGAGTAACATCTTTCCAATAGGACTCAAAATATTTCAAAAGGCTTTTATCCAATTAAGATCCAATTTTCTGGCATACATGTATTAATGCATTACCGTGGTTACTCGACACAGTTAAGAGCAGGTTGCAAATTAAATCTAAGAAAGAAACATGGCTGTATCATTCTAGAAGCAAAGCAGGAAAAAAAAAAACTAGAATCAAGAGTCTTTTTGCTTGATTACTTATGGAGAAGCTTCCTTCATCCAAACAGACAGCTACTTTCTTTTCCATCATGTGTGTCCACAGTATAAATTTGGCATACTCCTGATTTTGTTCCAGGGCCACAGCTCCCTGATTATTCCCAGTGCATATATGCTAATTCACTCCTTGGCTCTCTCCTGTAGCAAGCCAGCTAATTCCCCCTTGGAATGGTTTGGAAGACTGCTTCAGACAGACAGAATGGTTACTATGAGTTAAAATAAAACAATTCCTTAACACTCTCCCAGCCAGGCAAGGCAACTCTAAATGCCTTTCTGCTATGCCTGAAATTTTTTAACACACATCCTCAGCGTCATGCTGTAATAACACCATTCTCTTGTTCGTTCCAACATAATCCTGGTTACTTTGGACACATTGAACTGAAAAAAACAACAAAAATATAAGTATGTATGTTTTGGAGCCACAGGAAATCTGAATTTATGTAGCACGGCTATGGCCACTAGCCTTCACCTAGCTGGATTTGTGGGCTTTGTTTCAATTTTTATATACACTTTTACTAAGCGATGGGGACAATTTAACCTTAGAGTGAGCAACCGATTCGATGTAAGAATATGCAGAAATTGAGTGCTTGCATTTCTGTGAGCAGAAGGAATTCTTCCTCTCCTCACACATCAATAAAAATACTGAATATGGACAGTCCTATAAGCAAGACTAGAACCATCCATAGACTCTTCTGCTGCTTTAAAATACATTTGGGTAAAGTTTCCAAAACCAGACCAGATAACAAAATGAATCTGTGAAGAAGCAAAAAAACACTCCTCCAGGAAAAAGTGTTCAGTTTGCTCTTAAACTTATTTGTGTTTTAAAAATATATTTTTCACATAATAATGAAATTCTTTAAGATGAAAAGTAATGACTGAAGTTATTTCCTTGCAAATGTATCAGTATTTTCCTTCTTTATAAAGAGTTAATTTTTAAATAATTTACTTTAAAGAGTCAAGATCATAAGCCATCATTCTGCCTTCTCAGGTCTGAATATTTATTGATATTTTCTTTAAAATTACAAAGGAGTGGTCATTCACTGCCTAACAAAAAAAAGGAGGAGGGGAAGGAGTGGGGGAGGGAGACAGAGAGAGAAATTCAACCCATATAATGGTAACTATTAAACAATTTAGTTCTGTGAAAATACAGAAACAGGTACCAACAGATATTGTAAAATAGGCTGAAATATTTGAAGCAAAATATGTAATTCATAGAAATAACCTTAATGAGAACAGCACTTGTAATTACGCTACAAGTTTGGTAAAGAAGAGTATCCATCTGTCATTTTGATATAGACAGGGTAGAGGAAGGAAGCAGATGGATTCAGCCACCTACAGAGAGTCTAAAAAACGGAAAGTAATCACAAGGGCTGGTCAGTTCTCTTAGCAAAACAGTACCAAAAGTTATTCCTTCGTTATCAGGAGAAAAAAGATACAAAAATTTTAAATACCTGAACAGGTGCAAAAGAAAGTCATTTAAAAGAAAAAGTAAACATTTATTTTCAATAAAAGTGTTATGCCACTTGATTAAACACTTACTGCATTTTTAAAAGCTGGGTTTTTTTAACTGTTGTAATGAACTAATTTTAAGACTACAAAATTTGATTTCGTAGAATTGTAATCGTTACACTGATCATTTCTTTAGAATAACCACCCACCTCTTCTGATCGGGTTTAAAACACACGAGCAAATGGGAAACACTTTCACAACTAGACTTTAAAAAACAAGAAGAAATGGAATGAAGACGCTAAGAATTATCCTGCTATTACAAAATAGATGTTTTTAAATACATTATATTTTCAATTACTCATGTTTTCAACCGTTTCCATTAACTTGCTGGTTTTACTCAACAGCAACATTTTAAAACAACCTGACAACCTTCATTCAAATTTTTTTATAAACAGCAATGCTATGGAGATGCTTTGGAAACCCACTATATAAACACAACAATTTCACACCAATCCAAAAATCAAGTGAATCAAGGAACTGTACCATTTCTTGTGATCAATGGAAAAGTGCCATTCTTTTTTGTGAATCCCTAATCTCATATCCTTCATGTTAGATTTTAATTGGCAACTTGCATTCCTCAAGGAAATTGGTTCATCTTTTACCCAATCTCCATAGGGGGTGGGGAGGGAACCCCCAAAACTTTAGGCTTGCTTTAATGCAAGCATTTCAAATACTCAACTGCTGAATCCATGATGTCCAAATTACAGACGGCCAGTTTTAATTACTAATGTACATGTAGCTTCTGTGGCCTGGAAACTGCTTAGCAGAACAGCCAGACAGCATATATACAAGCACTTGCTGCAGTACTCATGCCATTTTCCTATTTGCAAAGTGTGCTCCTGCCCTCTCCATTTCCCACCTCCCAAAGATGATTTTTATGAAAACCTCTACCACCTTTCCCCTCAGTCCACCTACCATGGGAAGACACTCCTGACTTACTCAAAAGTTACAAAACATAATCAGCCTCCTCCACACATTGACCTCAGTGAAGTGGAAAACCCACAGATTGTTGTCACAAGTGTCTGTTTAACCAAGAAACAGGCAGATCTGCATGAAGGTAACAGGACAAAATCCAGTAAGACTACTTCTCATACATCGGGAACACAACTCTTCTGTTCTCTTCTCTTCCTAGTAATTTAGGGATGATTAACCTTAGAGACTTTACAACCAATATACCAAAGTGTGTTTGCGTCTTTTTAAAAAGGATTAAATCCCCTGTACCTGGAGGAAGCAGGGGAAGTGAATCCTCCAAGGATAGAGCTGGTAGATGATGATAGCTCTTCCAGGGTCCCTCAACTTTGTCTCATAACGGAGTTATTATCAAGCCTCTGTGCTAACACAACCCCTTGCCAGTGATGTAGCCCTGCAACAGAAAACACACCTGAACTGCACTCAAGGCACAGGAGGTCTAGGAGTATCAGACCACCATGTTAGCTCTACCTACACAGGGACGGCAAGGGGGGCCTTAATGGTTGAAGTGTACTTTGCCAAGCATGAGATAGGTATTTGTACCATTAACTTACTTAATAACAAAAAAGGAACATTCTAGTTGCAACTTTTATTAAGATTTGACTTATGAATAGTTCATGAAGATTACTAATTGATGTTGCAAGTATGCATCATTTGTGTCTCTTCATAGTTAGCAGACAGATGAGTACAGAATGTTTTATGGCAACCTATCCACCTATTAAAAACATATTAAGGGTTATATAAATTGATTAATAAATGATTAACTACCGCTAATTATGTAAACATCCAACCAAATCATTAAGAGCTAAAAATGAAGCAAAAGGATACAATGAAATCACTTCCATAGAAAGAAGGTAAAATTCTCTTTTAGAGACGCTGCATTTTCTGAAATGTCTTTAAAAAAGGGGGGGAGGGGGGATTTCTAGATGTATGAGTTTCTTCATACAGTTTAATGCTAGGCAGTCTTACATTAACTGAAATTTTAAAATGAACAGCAAAAAACTAGTTTTGAACATGAGAACTAGGAATACAAAAATAAATCTTGCATTAAAAAAAATACTTCCCGAAAACTGAACTATTTTTGTTTTCTAAATTCGTATTTTTATTGTTCTTGCTTTCATATACGTACATATTTTTAACCACTATTACAGATTTCTCATATATTTTCTAAAATATATGTTTTTGAGCCTCTTTATCCCATTTCAGTAGTTTTTTCAATACTCTGTTTCTGAAAAATCACTTATTTTTCTGTTGCCTCAAAACTCAGAAGAGAATTCCAAAACTACTCCAATTCTATTATTTCTAGGATTGAGACTGGCAATTATATAGTTAATCTTTAGATAGTATTACACAGGTTTAAAGGTTACTTATATCACACAGACTTAGCTATAGGAGAGACATTTTTGTTATAAAAACGGTAAGCAAATGCACGAGATAGATAAAAGAAAAATTGTACTGTATATGAATGGAGGCAATAAAAAGATAACTTCATAGATAATTGGAAAAATGAATGTAAAAATTTACCTTAAAAACTCATCAAATTCTGTAGATGGCAATGAAGAGAAAGAAAATCCCATCCAAAATACAGTTAAAGAACACAGCCAGCTGTTAACAGAAAATAATTAATTTTAAAATATAAATATAAGCAAGAACTCTGGCAGAATACCCTTAAAAACTACTAGTTGCCTTCAAAAATAATACTTAATCCCCAAAAGATGGAGATTTACACATCTCAAGTATTAACTGTGGTGTTTTTTTCAGAATAGTTAAATATCTTTTGATCACAAAAACTGTAAAATATATTTCAATCATTAGCTGTGAGCCCAATCCACATACACACTGAATTTCCATCACTTCTTTTGCATTTAATTCGTTGCTTTAATGAAGTTGCTTTGGCTTAAAGTGCTAGACAAAAGAAACAGATACTAATAAAATGTGGGAGAAGTACTAAAGATAATCAGAAACACCAATACCTCATGATCTCAAAAAAAAAAAAAAAGTACTGGCAATAGAAGACGCAAAAGAGGCAATAAATTCATGAGACAACAACAAACTGCAGGACCATGACAAAATTAAAAGGAAAAGCTTGAAAAACAGCATGAAATTTAGAGTGATAATATCCAAAACTTTTTAAAGATGATTAATAAATCAGCAAAAAACCCCAAATGTACCACACACTTCTTGAAGACAGAGCAAAGCTCTGGAAGAATGGGCTGCAGAAACTCAAACACATAAATTAATAGATTTCTACTGTGACAGCAATCTGAAGACAGTGACATGATTTAATAGCAAGAAAAGCACTCCCAAGAACCAACACTTCCTGCCAAGAATACCATAAAGATCCAGGAGTAAAGGATGTATTTAAAATCTAATAAATACAGGAAAAAAAAGGAATAAAAAACTGAAGGGTAGAAAAACGCATCACTTGTTTAGCTTAGTACAATTACTTTTTGCTTGGAAGATATTAAAGCCTCACAGGTAGAAACATAATTAAAGTCATAAAGGAGAAAAGTTGTAGAATTGTGTGCCTACTTGGACACAAAAGACAGTGCAGACCATCTTAACCCAATCTGGTTAAGATGTCTGGGACTAGTTATGCTGGGAACAGATTTAAAATAAACTGATACACACTGCTGTGACAAACAAAAACATTTATACGTGGCTTTGCACCATATTCACTATAAATCAGTTTCAACACAATATATGTTGTTATTTTCAAGAACAATTAATTCAAGGAGCACAAGCATGTGCAGAAAAGGACAAAGCATGAAAACGGAGGCCTTACCTATAGATGAAAGTTCCACTGGCTTAACTGAAACCCATTAAACCTATACTAAGCTGCTGTGTTGACACACATAAATCAGTTTACAACATGCTTACCCTGACTTAGCTAAAAATTGTTAAGGAATCAAATTAAATTGAATTGATTATGCTGAGTGGAAATTACCTTATGTGGGCCCATAAAAGATTTTAGACAAATTTAAATCTTGAACAGCGTTAATTAGGTCTGTACAACTTCTGGGTGTGAACAAGGTTAGTCACTAAACATCTTCACACATCCTGCAAGCCAGACTGGATAATAAGCTCCCTTCTACTTACCAAGCTTCTATATATTTCAGAGCAAGCTAGACCTCAACTCTGCAGCTATTTGGCTGTCGAATTCATCCTCAGACTGGAACTTAGGTAGGATCTTCATTTATATTAAAAATGTATTTTTATTAACTGGTGTAAATCAGTATAGCGCTAAATACTCTGACATTTAAAATGAAGCGTGACACACATTTTCAACCCTGACTTGGCAGTTTGCTATACTATAGAAGAAGACAGAGACTCAGCAAAGACTCAGTCAAGCCGCAGCAAGTTTAGAAATGTTACATAAGCAGGATAAGCAACCTGACTTGCTAAATGCGAAAACTTTACATGATAAGCATAAATATTTATGTTTTATATCCATTGCCCTAAAGGAGGAACTTCTTATTTGTCTGATGAAAACTGTGTCAGTTTACACTCTGTCTAGATTTTTAATATTTTTTTTCCAACCGTAAGGACTAGGAATAGCACTTCAAGACTGAAAAACAAACCTGCAGAAAGATGCTGGGACAAGGTAAAGCCTTAACTAAGTGACAGAACTGGTCCTGTGCAAGGGACCCCGTCCACTAGAAATCAAGATCTGAGGGGGGAAAAAAAAAAAAAAAATCAGTATCTTATTTTGACACTCTCTTTCACAGCGTAACAGCACAGTTTTAAGAATCTGTGTTTTTTTACTGATGAAGCTATGCCAATATTAACGTCAGCTCAGGCACAGGCCACAACAGCTTTTCCCAGCCAGCAACGCAGGACACCAGGGGCAGGGCCTGAGGCG